CAAATCATCAGTATGAAATAAGAGTGTTTGTCTTTTCTACCTGCTGTAGCAAAAGTGCATACATCTGATTCAGCTTAAAACTTTAAGCTATACTTTCAGGGGGTGAGGGAGGATGGGCTGAGAACAGTTTAACTCTGTTTAACTTTGAATTAAATTTGTCAAAGTATGTTTTTTACTAACATTGAACTTTAACTGCTGTTTATTTTATGTATGATACAGGAAAATAACCTGTATGCATTGCATGCCTGGGTTTTTTATTGGTTTGGGTATTTTTGTTTGTTTGTTTTTGCTTTCTTTTGAATTAGTACAAAAACCTGAGGATTTTTACTAGAAACCCCGTATCTTGATGAGACAGACTTATTTTATCTGAAACCTGCTTAACCTTTGGGCAGCTTTTTAGTTTGGAAAGTTAGGTTATACCATTTGTCCGGAAAATAATTAGCATCAGTCCATAAATCTGGGACATAAAATGTTTCCCTTTGGAGGATGTAAAAGACTATTTTTAAAGGCATTCCAAGTGGGCTGTTCCTATAGAGTTTACAGAGGTTCTCAGTTCATGAACTTATTGCAGCAGGCAAATCATAAATAGTTCTTATGTCCAAAAAGAACATGATTTTCAAATATACATTTATCTCAGAAATTCTAATGCTTCTGTCTTTATCTTCCAGGAAAGACATAGTTCAGTTCAAATTATTGTTTAAAAGTTTCTGTTTTGTTTTTTACCTTTTACCTTTTGAGCGTATGAGTTATCCTGGGTTTCATTGTCTAATATGATAGTATTTTAAATGTTTTAAGCAATTTAATGCTTACAAAATTTTTTCCTGGTTTTTAAAATTTCCGCTTTATAATAAGAAGTGACTTTAATTAATTGCTTTTCTCCTCCATTTCAGAACTGGGTAGGCTAACATTTTACTGCATAAATGAGTAACTGCCATTTTTCTCTTACTGCTATACATTTGTTTCATCTCTGATTAGACTTACATCTCAACCAAATCATATTTAATTTGCATGCAGTACTCTACCAATTACTATTAGTGCTTATAAGATGCTGGGCCCTGCTTGTCAAGGTGATTGAACTCTGAAATAATAAATGACTTGCCTGATCCAACACAGGAGAACCAGGATTCAAACCCTGGGATGCCGTGCTTCAAACAGCCGTCTTTCAGCCATTTTATATACTCTCTTTCAGCTATACCAAGGATACTGTTTGAACTTATAGATCATGAGGCATTAATTAAAACTTAAGTTATAGCCAGGTTTGGTGGCTCACGCCTGTAATCCCAACACTTTGGGAGGCTGAGGCACGTGGATCACCTGAGGTTAGTAGTTCAAGACCAGCCTGGTCCACATGGCAAAACCCCATCTCTACTAAAAATACAAAACTTAGCCAAGTGTGGTGGCTTGTGCCTGTAGTCCCAGCTGCTCAGGAGGCTAAGGCAGGAGAATTGCTTGAACCTGTGGATGGAGGTTGCAGTGAACCGAGATCATGCCACTGATGCCCAATGGATGGCCAGATGCCATATTTTTCCCTGTTACTTTTTTTTTTTTTTTTTTTGAGATGGAGCCTTGCTCTGTCACCCAGTCTAGTGTACAGTGGCGCAATCTCGGCTCACTGCAACTCTGCCTCCCGAGTTCAAGCTATTCTCCTGCCTCAGCCTGCCGAGTAGCTGGGACTACAGGCGCGTGCCACCACACCCGACTAATTTTTGTATTTTTAGTAGGGACGGGGTTTCGCCATGTTGGCCAGGCTGGTCTCGAACTCCTGACCTCAGGTGATCCATCCGTTTCAGCCTCCCAAAGTGCTGGGATTACAGGCATAAACCACTGTGCCCAGCCTCCCCTGTTACTTTTTAAATCACTTATAAAATGAAAGAAAGAAAGGTTCAGAGAAACTCTTAAATGGTGAATATCCTGTCTTTTTTATATCAGCATAAGATGTTGTTTTCTTGCTCAAGTATTTCTAATATAGGTATTTTCAAGCCTTATGTTATAAGTTGTTGATTTGTGATCATGGATTTTAGGAATTATGGACAAGACAATAAAAAACTAGAACTGTAAAGATCAAGTCCAGTGCTCCCAGATAGGAAGAAGTGGCAGAAAAATTGACCTAGCACAACTCATTTGAAAGACAATGTTGTGCCTAAGTTGTCATAATCTTGGGAAAATAGGAATTCAAACTGTGTATTGCTAAATAGTATACAGATCAGTGATTGAAAAATATCTCTCGGTATAAGGACACAAGGGCCACTTTTATAAATTTTACTGCTCTTATTTTTAAATTTTCATTTTATTAGACCACTAGCTAGTATAGTTTTTCTGTTACTTTCATTGAATTCCCCTGAGATAGCTAAAATTATTGTTCATAGTGATAATCTTTTATCATAGAACCAAGAACACTTGTTTGTACAAACGTCAGAAGTCCTAAAGATTACCACTACAATAAGAGTGTAAATAAAGTCTAATTCTGCTTTTTAAAGTTATCAGAAGTTCTTATAAAGGCATTAGTTTAGAAAAATCTTAGTGTTTATTACTTTGCAAAAGGTTATAAAAATATCTTAGTATTTGAAGTCAGCTTTTCATTTGTACATGCAGTTCCCAATTTATAAATTCATCCTTTGAAGTTTGTTAGAGGGCAACATGTGTTTTTTTCCTACATTTTTTCATAGAAATTGAATTATGCTTTAAATAATTAATGCCATAATGTATTAGAAAATGTATTAGATAGTGGTTCCCAGATTTATTCATTTTTTAAAAACCTACAAACCCCACTATACAACTTAATTCTGATAGTAAAAGTGTGTGGGGCTATAAAAGATTTTATTTTGTAATTAGAAATTGACAAATGTGAGTCAGGTATGGTGGCATATGCCTGTAATCCTAGCTACTTGAGAGGCTGAAGCCAGAGGATCGCTTGAACCCAGGAGTTTGAGGCCAGCCCAGGCAACATTGCCAGACCCCATCTGTATTAAAATAAATAAATAAAAGTAAATTTAAAAGTTTAACATTTGGAAGAATGAAATACTATTAAAATATCTATCAATTATTTAAGACATAAATATGAAGACATTTCACATATTTTATGTTAACATATGTTGGGTTTTCTGCTAATTATATTGCTATCTTGGGTACCAACATTTTTTAAATATACACTTAAAATTTTCGGCTGCTGGATACCTATTTTTCTATAGAATACATGGAATTATCTTTGTTATCTTTGTATTTTGTTTGTTAGCTCACTTTAATTCTGTGGTACTTTACCTTTTAAGATTCCTTAACTATTTAGCTGATAATTTAAATATCTACCATGGTATTTTGCATATAACTTAAAATATTTTTTATATTTATGGGCTCAAAGATTTTAAAGCTAAAATTCACTTCTGCATCATTCTTTCAATTGCATGTATTGAATGACGTATTAAATGTTATGGTAGTCTGAAATAAGCATTTTGACATTTTCTGTTTGCCTAGCAAAGCAGTTTGAAGAGTATGATTTTACATCTTAAGCTACTATTATGTACATGGAGATGAGAGCTGGAATCATATGCCTGTACAATATTTATCAAATATGCATATATATTTCTACCTAATACTTTCTTTTAAGCTTTATTCAGAATTAGGGTACTTTATGTTCTCTATTATAGTAAGACTTCTTAATTATTTTTCATGGTTTCCTGCAGTGTTAGATTACTTAAAATATTACAAATTTATAAGACAGAGGGAGATAGACTGTTAATTATTAGAAAGTCTAATTAAAGCAGTAGAACCTTACTCATTACTGCTTGTCCTGCCACATAATTTTCTTGATTTATTTTAAAGCCCAGGTAAATGTTGATTTAAAATGGAAGGTTTAAACCTGTTACCATCTGATAATAGTTTTAGATATCTTTCTGTTATTACTTATAAAATTGTAATGTGTAAAACCTGGGTATAATAGTTGGAATAGCAGGGGTTTTTTACTTTCTAATAGTGGATTCTGGTTTAATAAATTTTACTTCTATAACTTAAAATATTTTTATCTTCATATAAGTAAATATAATTCTAAGAAACAATATCTGCCACAAGTAATCATTTTCCTTAGGTAGTTTATGAATGGAATATCAGTTTACACCAAGCACTGAATAAGTTAAATATCCTTTTAATGCTGATTCCAAGGGTCTAGAAGCCCTCATAATTCATCAGCAGAATTATTTGTGTTTACCCAAATTTTATAACTAGAGATAATATGCATAAATCTGGAACTACTTATATCTATTTTTTTATTATAACAAACTAAGATTTCAGTGTCAAACTATACTGTACCTTTTATTATCACAATAACTAGGTTTTAATCCACTTATGAACTTAGAGGTCTATCAAGAACACAGATGCCCATATATCATAAAAAATTAAATAGATGAATCATGTCTTTGGACACTCTGAGCCAAACCATTTCCTTCAGCAACTAAACATAATTTTTCTTAACATGACACTTACGAAGGAATTGTGTTCGAGTTTATAATATAAAAACTATTAAGAGCTATAATAAGGATTTTTGGACAATTCCAATTTTAAACTGAGGTTTAGCGATTTAAATTGGGATTTAGTGATTCAAAGACCTTATCGTTAACCCAGCACATACCTGTCCCGGAAGTGTCCTAGTTATTGCTTTAAGGAAAAAAAGTATCAATGTAGAAAAGTTAAGGTATAGACCTATTCATTGTAATTTATAGATAATATATTCAGAATCTATAAATATCACTAACTTGAATGACTTTTTAAATGATTTTATTAGATAGCTTAGGAGGGAGAAAAATGGCTTCCAAAAAATATTTTTTTCTCTTTAAAACTGATGATCAACCATAGAAAATGATGTAAAACAAGGGACCGTGTACTTGCCGCATCTTTAAATAGTCCAAGTTCATCTTTTATTTCAACAAAAATAAAGATTAAATGAGTGCCCATTCTCTAATAGTATATCATAGTTCTGTGGTTTGATGGCACAAACAAAGTGAAATACTTACCAAACATTATTGTCAAGAGGGCAATTGGCATCACAAACAATCCAACCAGCAAATCAGCCACCGCCAAGGACATTAGAAAGTAATTAGTAGCATACTGCAGCTTTTTCTCCAGCGAAACAGCCAGAATAACAAGGGTATTTCCACCAATTGTGGGTATTATCACCATGAGTATCAGAAGAGCTGCCCAGTGCAGTTTATTTCCCTGTTCCTCAACAATCTGTTTCATTTCCTCTGGTATTGATTCTGTCTGTAATCCAGACCAGTTAGAAGAGATAACGTGAACAAAGGTGCTCTGCAAAATGTGCTCAGGCATTGTGCTTTGAAGTTCAGACACTCTGTAAGAGAGAGCCATTTGCTGTTTTTCTGTGATTCAATCCCGTTCCGAACAGTGGTCAGCATGGTTAGTAGCTAAACTGGTCATCTGTTTTTTTAAGGCATTGTACCCATGTCAAACACTCGAAAGCCACAGTTGACACATTCCTTTAAAAAAAAAAAATCCAAGTTCTCTAAAATGAGCTTATATACACATCTGTCCATGTTTGTAGGTAAGATCTCCAAGTATTTATTATTTTCTAAAGTCTTAAATTTAGAAGAGCTCAGTGAAAAGAAACTGATAGCTGTGAAGAAAAATAGGAGATATATATATATATATCTAATATATATATATTTAGTTTCTCTCTCTTTTTCTACCGTAGTTGTAGAGTCATGTTTGAACTTGCATGCCAGAGAGTTCCCCCTAGATACAAAATACATAGATTGCATTATTTTATTCATTTCTGAAAGTGGTAAAAACTCTTGAACTTCATAGCCCTTCCCTTAGTAAGTCTGTTGTGCATTTGTGACAATGCAGCCAGTTCTCCAAGTATACTATATTTCTGATATTCCTCAGTTAATGAAACAGAAGACACATTAATTTTTTCAATGGTTGTAATAAAAAGTTAAGTGTTTCCTGACCCTTCAATGTCTTTTTACCTTTACTTACAGAAGAATAGAAAAGTCGAAACACAATAGTTCAGAATAGAACTTTTAGTATGTGCTGACCACCCACCTGGAAACACTCCAAGCCCAACAAGGGTCTAAATGAATTATTTACCAGCTAGGAATCCTTATATGTAATTGGCTTTGTCTGACTAGGTTTGTAAGTACTAATATAAATGTCATTTTAGATTTCCTTTATTTTGAGAGAAGGAGAATAAATAGATATTACTAGGATCCATATAATTGTTTTTAGTAATTTCATCTCTCATGGTGTATTTTTGCAACAATTGTGTTCTAAATTTAATCACTAAATTTACCAAATTCAAACCAATTTTTTTGGTTGTTGTTTTAAGTAGTGTTTTTTTGTTTTAACCTTCCCAGTTGCCTTGAGAAGAAAGGGAAACCAAAAGGAAAATTAAACCATTTATTTGTTCATGAAATGTACAAATCACATTTTAAAAAACTCTCCTTTAGCATTCCTAAATTTTTCATTTTGATTTTTAAACCGCTGAATAGAAATGAAAGTTTATAATAGCAGAATTCTTGAAGATTTAAAAAAAAAAAACCTTTAGATTAATTCCATATGTGTTTGTTAAATGCTTACCTCTGGTTTCGTTGTTATTTTGCCGAGCATGTCATCTTATGTGTTCACTGGACTTGCTTGCTGCTGTGACTGAAATCCTCCTCCCATTGACTTATTCTGAGCCTCTAGCACAGGCGGTTGAAAGCAGTGAAACAAATATGTTGGATAGCTGCAAGCATGCCAAGGAGGTTATTTCCTCTTTTGATACATTCATTTTTAGAGAGTAGCAGCATTCATTGTAATTCTTAAATCACTGTTAAGCATGTTGAACCAGTTCATGGCCCTTATTCAAGTTATATTTTTAAGAGCTCTCTTTAATGTTTGGGGGACTGTAATAAACTTGATCATTTTAGCTTCAGATAGTTTTGTTTGGGATTACGCCTGAGCTGTTTTTCCCATTTGAGAAAAAATAAGATATAATCTAGCTATTGTAGAGGTTTCATTCTATGAAGATTCTGCCCTTTTAAAAGCCTATAGTGATTTCTGCAGTTTCTGTTTCTAGCAGTGAAACAAGATTCTTATCTAGCTTTTGTGCCTTTGCTGTGGAACACCATTAATTTGCTCTGGTTGCAACCTTATATAGAAGAGCACAGAAAGGCCTGAATTCTACATGTATACATAGGTTTTAGCAGAAACTTTTTTACTGCTTATTTTTAAACAGATGATCTCTGGGTTTAGGAGTGGTTCACAGCTTTTTTTCCCCGTAGATTTTACATTGAAGAAAATACAAGTAATGAAAATACTTTTTTGCGTTATTTCAGAAAATTGGTGTTTAAATCTTAATAGTTATGCTATTTAAGTTTTCTCTAAGACTAGCTTAATATTAGAACTTCAGCATTCTCAAGGTTTCCTTTTAAAATATCATTATAGATGCATATTTTTAATTAATTACTTATAAATCAGTGATGGCATTTGTGCCCTTGTTTCAAATTTGTATTCCTTTGCTCATGTTGAATGTTATTGGAAAATACTTAGTTCATTTTAGCTCTGCTGAGCACTTCAGATTTTATTCAGTATTTGCTGCTTTTTTAAAAACTCAAAATTTACTATATTAGAAAAAATACTTGTGAAGAATTCTAGATGAAATAATACTCAATAGAAATCAGATGTTTGTTAATGTACCAGAATTTCTATTCAGGAATATGAAAATATTTTAAGGCAAGGCACGGTGGCTCGTGCCTGTAATCCCAGCTCTTTGGGAGACCAAGACAGGTGGATTGCTTGAGTCTAGGAGTTAGAGACCAGCTTGGGCAACATGGCAAAACCCCATCTCTACAAAAAAAAAAAAAAAAAACACAAAAATTAACCAGGTGTGGTGGTGCACACCTGTAGTCCCAGCTACTGGGTGGCGGTGGAGGAGTTGGGGGTTGGGGGTTGAGGGTCGGGGGAGACCTGAGGCGGGAGGATTTCATGAACCTGGGGTAGGTCAAGGTTGCAGTGAGCCAAGATTGCACCACTGCGCTCCAGCTTGGGGTGACAGAATGACATCTTGTCTCCAAGATAAAAAAAGGAAAGAAAAGAAAATATTTTTAAATACTGCTTAGTTGTGAGTTACACTTTGATATCTGTGCTTATGAAGGCAGATAGGGATCTGCAAAACAAGTAATGTCAGATTGAAAATAGCAGCACCATTATATCCAATGAAAAAACTTGTATGAAATAAGCCTTTATTGATTTGTTTATAGATAAAATTTTTAAAATATTAAGTATATTATAAAAATGCAGTCATTATTGTATTTGCTGGTATTAATCCTTTTACTCACATTCACTCATTTTTTGCCTCAACTTATAAAAGTAAGATTGGTACTTGGATTTTTTTTAATTTTGTGTTTTTAAGTCTGTTTAATGCCTAAGGAACATAACTAGTTAGAACAGCTACTTATTTGGCAATCTCAAGTTATGGGAAGCGTAGCTGAGAATCAAGAAAAAAGCAGAATAATAATAAATACATAGTTATATAAAAGGATAGTTGAGTCTCAGCAAATAACTGAACCTGTGCTTTAAAACCCTAAGTACTTTAAGTAGAAAGTAGCCTCTAAGTCCCCACTCCATCTTTTCACTCTCCGCACACACACGCGCACAGACGTATACACACACACAAAACTGCCTCTCCCCCTTCTTTAATGAAAATAACATTTGTACATGGTGGTAAATGTAGATAGTACAAAAGAATGTTGAGTGATAAATTCGCTTGAGACAATTTTAATAAACATGTTTCCCTGCCTACTCCAGATGTGAGTAACAAGTTAAAAGGTGGACAAGCGCTTTGATAATAGCAAATAGGGTCAACTGAAACAACAACAACCACACCCCCCAAAAAAAAAAAAAAAAAGAATTTAAATGTATAAACATGTAGGTCTACTCAAAGTAGATGCTTGTAGCTTTTTTTTTTTTTTTTTTTTTTTTTTAGACAGAGTCTTGCTCTGTTGCTCAGGCTGGAGTGCAATGGCGCAATTCAGCTCACTGCAACCTCTGCCTCCCAGGTTCAAGCAATTCTCCTGCCTCAGCCTCCCAAGTAACGGATTACAGGCACCTGCCACCAGGCCTGGCTAATTTTTGTATTTTAAGCAGAGATGGGATTTCGCCATGTTGGCCAGGCTGGTCTCGAACTCCTGACCTCAAGTGATCACCTGCCTCAGCCTCCCAAAGTGCTAAGATTACGGGCATGAGCCACTGCACCCCACGCCCTTTGACAACATTTTATGTGGCGTAGTGATGGATAGCATAGTGATGACCTCTGTGTACTTAAGAAAAGGCTAGATCACATTCACTCAGCTGTGTTTTGGGTGCCAATAAATGGTGAAATGAATTTTTTAAAGATTTCTATCCAAATAATAATAAACATGAAAGTATGAGTCTTAATGGTAAAGTTTTTAATATCTGGAAATTTCGTTTTAGAGTATTTCCTTTCCCAAAAACTTCAGATAAAGTAACTCTTACTAAAATAACTTCAAGCTCAGACTCAGCCTCTAATCTAGCAATAACCAAAAAAACCTAATCGGCTCGATTTTTTCTAAGACAATTGAATTTTCTCCCTGATGCCTTTTTAATTTATTGAGCAGATTCTGTCTTTGACCAAAAAGGGCAGTCTAATATCCTTTATAGGTCTAGGAAGACAGCTTAAATATCAGCCAAGATCCCCCATTTTTTTACCTCTCAGTCATAATACCTATTAAGCAGTAACCATTAAAGAATGTTTAACGTGACAGGGATTGTATCTGCTATGTATTCATTTGTGAAGTGTTTACTAAGTGCCATATGCTCATGGAGATGTATTAATGAATAAGATAAACATTTTCTATCCTCATGTAATTTATAATTTTATGGAGGATGCAAACAAGTATGTTGGTAACTATAGTACAGACATGGTAGAGCTAAGACTAGCTTACTTCAACAGGACCTACAGTGGAGCTCAAATATTTCTCAGCTTTCTTTTTATTCATTCCTCTCATGTTCATACTCTTTGACAAGATCAGTGAAAGAGCTGAAACTGTAAGAATAGCTGCTTCAAACTTAATCTGTTCTCGTTAGACTCCTTCATTCTCTCCTGAATGCCTGTTATTTTAATGAAAGACTTTGACAAATCAGAAACAAGCTCCCTCACCTTTCACTGTCTTCTCAAAATGTCTTTCTTTTCATCCATCCTATCCTTCTTTGAGATCATGTTATCATTCTTTTCCACAATTGACTTCTACTTAGGTTCTTGATCCCAACTCATATGTATAGGAAGTCTGTGTTGCTTCCTCTGGCATTAGCAGCCTATACCAAGAGTGTGATAGGCTGCCATCTCTACTGTCAACGGCTAGTCTAGGAGTGGGGGTGTGGTAGGCAGACAGTTTAAAATGCCACAGTGTTCTCTTACCACAAAATAGCACCTTCTTCTTTAAGCCCTCCCCTGGTTAAGTTTTTTACTGGATTCCTGTATAAAAGTTGATCTAGACAACTTTTGCCAGGTTGTTATTGCCAGAATAAAAGAATACGATTTTTTTGTCATTGAAACTCTAGAGTACAACCTGATGTCATGAAATGGTGATGTCCTTTCATCAAAAGACTGCTATACCTGGAATTATAGTTGATAATCATAACCCAAATATCTTTTGGAGTAGATTTGCTCAACTCTGCATGTCCTCAGTAATCACAGTAATCAGCTATTAGAAATAGACTTTTATCATTAGAATACTTGTTTAAATATCAGAAGTGATTTAAACTTTCTGAGAATCAGAGTACATTTATGTACATTATTATAAAAATCAAATGCCAATAAAGTTCTCAATAAATAGCAATAAGTTGATGGCAGCTCACTCATACTGCAAGACTTTTCTTTGTTTGCTGATGAGAAATGGAAACAAGTGTGCTAATAATGCTGCAGCTTTGAATATTACAGATTTCTCTGGGTCCAGGAATGCAATCTGAGATTTTTAAGAGCTCTATGTGTTATGGTGACACAGCAATTTCTTTGTATAAAGCTTGTGACTCTTCTTCTTACATCTTTAAAATTCCCTCCCTCTCCCATTTTAGCAGCACCTGAAAAGAATTAGTCTTTTTGGAAATGTACCAAAAGCTTGCCTAAAACTATACTAACTTTTAGTTTTCTGAAGTCCAGGAAGATGACAACAAATACATTCTCTTTCAGTAAATTTGTAACGTTTGTGGCACAGTCTGTGTGGTTTTGTTTTTTGCTTTTCCTTATGGTACGTTATATGTATTCACTATATACTAAACTGGTAGAGTTAAAAGCTACAAATAGCAGTATCTTGGAATATGGAGGTACAAAAAACAAAAGTATTTTTGGGAAAGAAAATTGTTTTCTTTCTCAGCTTTTTCCCTGAAAATGTTTTATGCCACAAAATTCAAAAAAGCGTAATATCTTCCCCCTACTTTTTTGTTTTTTACCTGTAATGGCACTGTTTGTTTTTGAGACAGAGTCTCACTCTATCACCCAGGCTGGAGTTCAGTGGCACTGTGTCAGCTCACTGCAACCTCTGTCTCCCGGGTTTAAACAATTCTCCTGCCTCAGCCTCCTAAGTAGCTGGGATTACAGGCACCCACCACCACGCCTGGCTAATTTTTATATTTTTAGTAGAGACAGGCTTCACCATGTTGGCCAGGCTGGTCTCAAACTCCTGACCTCAGGTGATCCACTCATCTCGGCCTCCCAAAGTGCTGGGATTACAGGCATGAGCTACCGCGCCCAGCCAATGGCACTGTTGTTTTTTTATTATTACAAGTTGTATAAACTAGCCAAAGAATAAAATAAAGGATAACAAGAAAAGTTGCTTGGATTCCCACAACATGTGGCTCTGTCATTGAGTACACATACAGCTGGCAAATTTATAATTGTCTAAGTATATATATTTTTAAATAACATATCAAAACATGTGAAAGAGCTAAGTTATAGGTAACACATTCTGTGCTAATAAAATGGTCTACCAAGTATTGATTTTTCCCTCTGCACTGCCCTCCCCTAAAATAAAGTCCACTGTTTTTCCTGTGATTTGACCATTTCTCAACATTTATTTTTCTAAATATGTTGTTTTGTTTTGTTTTTTGAGACAAGGCATCACTCTGTTGCCCAGGCTGTAGTGCAGTGGTGTGATCTCGGCTCAACTGTAGCCTTGACCTCCTGGGCTCAAGTGATCCTCCCAAGTAGTTGGGACTACAGGTATGCACCTCCATCCCCAGCTAATTTCTGTATTTTTTATAGAGATGGGGTTTCACAGGGATGCCCAGGCTGGTCTTGAACTCCAGGGTTCATGCATTCAATCCTCCTGCCTCGATCTCCCAGAATACAGGCATGAGCCACTGTGCTTGGCCAGTTTTT